CAGCCCCAAGAATGGAAAAAGAAATTCCTGTTTCTCTGGAGAAGCCTGGCTGAAACACCCATGCGAGCCTCTTGAGCATTTACTGAGTGCCAGTCACCAGTTCTATAGAGGGAAATGTGATGAGAGCCTGGCACACTCCAGGGGTGAAGTGCCGCACCAGCAAGGTAATGGCCAAATGTTAGGGGACCCCAATTAAGGGGCCTCAACTATCCTCCAAGACCCAGAGACTGGAAAAGCAGAGACAGTGCTCTTTTTCTACTTCATTTAACAAGACTATTAGATCATCTGTGGGGATCGATTATGACTCTGGGTTTTAGTCATGGGATAGTAAAAAGGTATTACTTTTTGTCTTGATAAATATATTTAAATATGAACAGTAAATTTTGCCTGTGATGTTTATGTTGGGTCCACTGCCCCAGGTATGCCAGCCTGACGTGCAGCAGGCAGACACCTATGGCAAAAACATTTGCTGTTCACCCACATTTCCCAGCTGTCTTTCAGTTAGGCCATGCAACTAGTTCTGACCAGTGGATTATGAATAGAATTGACTGTGTCAAACCCTATTAGGAAAAAGAACGTGAGTTCTCCAGGTGTTTTCTTCCCCGGGTGATAACAATGTGGAAGCCTCATTTCTCATGTTACAGCCACAAGATGTTAGTGCCTGAGCCCTGCAGTGACTCTTTGGAGCAAACTTTGGACCTTCACTGGACATGAAACGTAAGCAAGTCATAAACGTAGTTATATTAATCCATTAAACTTTGGGGGTTATAATATGTTACTGCATCACAGCCCAGCTCATCTTGATCAGATACAGCTGTGGCTGGCACTGGGGGTGGACAGGCAGATCCCTTGAGCCACCTTTAGAAGTGAACTATGGCTTACAGAAAACAGGCTGGGGAAACCACTGGATCATGAATGTTTCAGTACTAACGAGACTGCGGATGGGGCGTCACAGCCTTACAGCCAGTTTTACCTAAATCATGGCAGCCCCTCCTCAGGCAATTTTCTGGAATGGTGTAGGAGAGAAGTAGAGCAAAGATTCTCATGTGTCTTTTTACATCTATGGGTAGAACTAATGTACTCCATGTTAACTACCGTGGCCCAGCACAGATAGAATTATGAACATCACTGCGGGGCATATCTTATAGAATAATAATTGTAAACAAGGGTTTAAGTGACCACAGTTGTTCCTATTGGCTGTCAGAAATGTCTGGATTGTAATGCCAACTTATCCTTTTAGGAAACATCTTGAGTAGATGGAACCCACTGCTAAAGAACCTTTGGGAATGAGACAGATTCAATGTTATCAGTGGCCCAAGATGAAAATTTTGTGTAACAGTTTTTTTGACACTTCACTCCCCTTATAATGCCAGTACTTGGCGCGAGTCCTTGCCTCGCCAGCATTCTGGAGTCATGCACAGGACAGGTGGAACATGTCTAACTGGCCTAAAAGTCTTGTTACTGACTGGTGCTCCCAGGCTGTAGCATCTCAACAGACAGGCTGTACCAAATGGCTGTGCCAGGTTGGCATCAAAGCCAGGAGACAGAAACGATGACCATGAGAGTCGTCCAACACAGCCCTGAGGAAGGATGCCTCTGGTCAGAAGCAAGATTTGCAAACTTGGTTTGTGTCAGTTCCCAGGGTGTCACCCACAATGAGGCAGTGAGGAAAGGCCTGAGAAAGCTGCCCTGGGCTTGAGGGAGGATGGTTCTAGAGCCCTTAGCAGATCTTTGACAATGACAGCAGTAGCATGATGAAACTGATGGGCAGCCTGGGGCAGAGGTGAAATTGTCACTGCTAGAGGAGTGACATGGAGGCTGTCTTAAGTCCTAGTTAGGGAATCTAGTGAGTAGAATGGGCCACCAGAATCTAGGGGAATAGGCACCACCAGCCAGGCAGCCCATCCTATTGTTACAGTAATTATTCCCTAAGAGCAACTCTGAATTCGTGAAGATGTTGCTCATTAGATGTAGAGTTTGTAGTCACTAGCCACCCCTCAGTGCCGTTTAGCAGGTCACACAGGAATGCACGACACCCTTGAGAGTACATATTCGTTCTGAAATGAACACAAGTGCACTAGGAAGGCCACCTCAGTCCATTTAAATCCAGCTGTGAATGTGGACCTGGGAGATACTGTGTTGTGGTAAAGGAGGGTTAATGATAACAAAGTGATAAGACCAAGGTCAGAATGGGCCAGTAGGTGTGCTCTCTAAGGCTGAAACCTGGAGTGGTGAACGGGAAGTATCCAAAGAAATTTAGGAAGTTTGGCAGATCTCATGGTGTTGAGTTCCCATCTTCAGTCGCCTGGAGGCATAGTGGAGAGGAGTCACTGTGCAGGACTGGGCTTTAGTACTTTGAATAAAAGCAAAGAAGGAATAAGCTACTCAAATGTAACTGCAGACCTCCATGTACTGCCTACCACAGTGAAAAATAGTAATATTCATTGATGAGGATTTTGTACTAAGTCAAATATCTGTATTACTGGTAGTATTACCAGTAATACTACCTTTATAGTATGACTTTCCTGATACAATAAGTGTTTGAACTCGTGCCCGTTTTCTGAGTTACAAAGTTCTGGTTGTATCTGAGATGCCACGGTCAAGTGAAGCAGGCACTGTAGATGCCCTACCCACTATCCCCTTGGACCCACTTCTGAATTCACCTCAGGTGCCTACCTGTCTGCCTGAGGACTCTGCCGTTTCGGGAAAGTTCGCTTAGCCATGCACAGGAGCAGCCCAAAGGGCAGGGAAATTAATGCCCCAGAAACAGCTGACAATAGGAGAAGGAGAGTGACAGATGAATGCCCCAGCCTCCCAGCCTGCGGCAGAACAATTCTGAGTTGCCCTCCACAGCCTCTCACAGGGTGCTCAGAACAGCTGAGCCCTAATCACCCACTGGTTATCTGCTCGTTAAGGCACCCTTTCTTACAGCCTTTCTCCCTTCCCTGTCTCACTTTCCCCAACCCCACATGTGCTGCTTGCGACCACCCCCCAAAAAACCACCTGGACCCAAGTCCTTGTGTCAGGGTCTGTACTAGGCATGGTTTCCCAGAGAAACAGAACCAACAGGATAGGTAGACTGATTTGTCTATATCTGTGTCTACATCTGCATAGAGAGATTATAAGGAAATGGTTCACATAGTTATGGAGGCTGACAAGTCCAGAATCTGCAGAGCCAATGCCAAAGGCAGGCAGGCTGCTGTAGGTAGAACCAGGAAGAGTCATACACCTGTTCAAAGGCCATTAGGCAGGAGAATTCTCTCTTACCTGGGGGAGGGGAGGCCTTAATTCAATTCAGACCTTGAACTGATGGGATGAAGCCCACCCACATTATGAAGTGCAAGGTGCTTTACTCAGTGTACCAATTTAAATGCTACTTTTATCCCAAAACACCCCCAGAGGACCACTAAGAATAATGTTTGACCAAATATCTGGGCACCCTGTGGCCCAGTAAAGTTGACACATAAAATTAACCATTACAGGGTCTGATTTGGGGGAACTCCAGTCCACAGCACAAAGCACAGCTCATCATTCTGGGAAGCATGCCTCAATTTGTAATGAGAGCAGGTGCCTCGAAGGAGAGTGTTTTTTGTGAACCATCCACCTCAGGAACCATCCATTGCACCCTCTGACCTCTTGTCCACATTCCGACATATAGACTTCTGGCCCCCATTAAGGAGGCACTTTTGCCCTCAGGGAAAACCAGACCCTGGTGTTGCTGTCCATGAGTTTGAGACAGGAAGAGTCCTGGTATGGAATGGAGTGAAAGCTCTGCTGTGTGCGCATCCAGCACCCTCTGCCTGATATTTTCCCTGATCTTCAGGTACATTTTGTCTCACTCTGGAGCAGGCACTTAGTCCCACTAACAGAGAGGTCCGCTAGTTGCCTACACCACCTACACTACCTACCTTCCAGGCTATGGGGTGGGCCCCAAGCTAGCGCCAGCAGCCAAAAACGTCCCTGATTGGTGCCGCTGTCCGTGGTCCTGACCAAACGCTCACGCTTCTGCGTTGGCAGCTGGTTGCTGTCCTTGGTGTTTCGCAATGGTTCTTTTTTTTCATACTCAAGAAGATATTGCAGATGGAAAGAATGGATTTTTGAAGCATAGACTAGAATTCAAGGATAAACATGAGATTTTGGCTCCTGCTGAGGTGCATGACAGGACTTAGGGCTCTGGCCTACATGTCCCCATTCACACGGAAGAATCAACAGTTTCTTGCTGCCCCACGTTCCCAGACGTTCTGGGATTTAGCACGGTTGATGGAAGAGAGCAGACTAAGTAGAAAGCAACCGTGGCTGCAGCTTGCAGGCTGTTAGCCGCAGCGAGGGAGCCACTATACTTTGGCAACCCCCCTGGCTCGAAATGTTCCTCTTTCTGACCGCCTATATCCAATCTATCAGAAAGCCCTGTGAATTGTACCTTCTAAATATCTCTTGGATCAGTCTACTGCGTCTCACCTCCACCACCACTGCCATGAGAACAATGATCACCCCACTGCTACCATCACCACCCTCACTCTAGTAGTTCTACCATCGGTGGTGATTGCTGGACTCATCCCTTTAGGATAAAATTTTCCAAGTGGTTAACTAAGTCGAAGTTTAGGTACATTTTTTAAGTGTTTTGTTAGAGTATGTGTCCCCATCAACCTTGTGCAAGTGCCAGAGCCAGTCACATGTGGCAGAAGCTCTAACAGTTAATACATTTATTTAAAATAAAATGGTACGTTTTATTGTGTGTAAGCTATACCTCAATAAAAAGATTGGTCAAAGGAAATGCCTTTTTAAAAAGAGCTAATGCTATGTGCCATGGCTGGGGTAAGGGGACGTGGTGCTTTAATACAAGCCTCTGAGGTAGGTTCTGTTTTGCAGGTGGCATGATGAGACGCAGATAGCTCAAGACACTTGCTCAAGTTCAAACAAGATCCTCAGAGAGGGGTCAGGTAAGCTTCCTGAGACCGCACAGCAAGCGAGTGGCAGGACAAGGACTGCAGCCCGTGCTTGTCTCCGCAGCGCCTGCCGAGGGGACGCCCCCTTCCCTGCGGCCCCGGGGAGGTGCCAGGGGTCCCTGAAGCAGAGGACGAGGGAGCGGGCTGCCTATGCGCGCCGTCCGGGAAGAGGGGCTCCCGGGCCTCCAGAGTCGCCAAGGCGGGTGTGATGCAATCACGCCGGTGGCTGCGTCAAGGGGCGGCTCCCGGGACGCGGGGACTGCGGTAGAGCCGTCCCGGCCGCTGCCCACATCGTCCCCGCCGCCGCCGCCAGCGCTGGTCCCACGCCCCCGGTAACCCCTGACAGCCGCCGCCCGCACCCATGAAGTCAGCGGCGAGCTCGCGCGGGGGCGGCGGCTGGGGCGGAGGACGAGGTGGAGGCGGCAAGGGAGGCGGCGATGGCTGCGGCCCGGGCGGCCGGGGCGGCCTCGGGGCGCGGACGCGCGGCCTGGGCGGCGTGCGGGGCCGGGGGCGCGGCCTGGGCGGCGGGCGGGGGCGCGGCGGCGCGGGCAGGAGCAGGGGCCGCCGCAGGAAGGGCGCCGCCGCGGTGTCGGTGGAGCCGCACCGGCACGAGGGCGTCTTCATCTACCGCGGGGCGGAGGACGCGCTGGTCACGCGGAACATGGTGCCGGGGCAGTCGGTGTACGGCGAGCGGCGGGTCACGGTGAGCGAGGGCGGCGCGAAGCAGGAGTACCGCGCGTGGAACCCCTTCCGCTCCAAGCTGGCCGCGGCCATCCTGGGTGGCGTGGACCAGATCCACATCAAGCCCAGGGCCAGGGTGCTGTACCTCGGCGCCGCCTCGGGGACCACCGTCTCGCACGTCTCCGACATCATCGGGCCCGACGGCCTGGTCTACGCGGTCGAGTTCTCCCACCGCGCGGGCCGCGACCTGGTCAACGTGGCCAAGAAGCGCACCAACATCATCCCGGTCCTGGAGGACGCGCGGCACCCGCTCAAGTACCGCATGCTCGTCGGGATGGTGGACGTGATCTTCGCCGACGTGGCGCAGCCGGACCAGTCCCGCATCGTGGCCCTGAACGCCCACACCTTCCTGCGCAACGGGGGCCACTTCCTCATTTCCATCAAGGCCAACTGCATCGATTCCACCGCCTCCGCCGAGGCGGTGTTCGCTTCAGAGGTGAGGAAGCTGCAGCAGGAGAACCTAAAGCCTCAAGAGCAGCTGACCCTGGAGCCCTATGAGAGGGACCACGCCGTGGTCGTCGGGGTCTACAGGCCTCCTCCCAAGAGCGGCAGCAAGTAGCACCCAACTGGGGCTGCCCCCGAGATCCCCCCAGGACTGCTGGGTTCAGTGTTACTATGTATGTGTTTGTGTGTTGTTTTCCTTTCTTTTGTTTTTCTATTAAATGGCATAAAGAAACAGTCCCCAGGTGTATCGGTGAGCCCAGATTGGGTTTTGTAGCACCAACAATCCCCAAATCTCCAAATCCCCAAATCCCTAAAACAGCTGATGATAGCAGCTCATCAAGGAACAGCTTGGGAGCCGTGCTTACTCTAGTCACTCAGGGCTCTGACTCCCTAGGGCCCCTGTTCACACATGCTTCCTCATCCCAGGGCGGGCAGGGAGAGCTGGGGAGTTGCCAATGAGCTTGTAAACTCCCCCTTGGAACTGAGGGGCGCTTCCTACACATTCCAAGTTACATGAGCAAGCCTGAGTCCAGGGAGTGACATTGGATATTGGTGGACAGCAATATAATGTCGTTTAACACACTCAATATGCCTGACTCAAACCAGAGTCCTAACCACCACATATATTTAGTACTTGGCTCCTCAGCTAAGCCCCTTGCATTCCCCTAGTCCATAATCATCACCGCAGCCTGAGATGGCTTTGTAACCGTTTCCCTTTTATATGGGAAGCAACAAGGCCTCTGAAGGCGAACTGGGTGCCCAGGTTTACACAGCCTGTAAGGAGGTGGGACTTAAATGCCATCTTTTGGTCTCAAGTCCACTGCTGTCTCCTCTACACCAGTGGGACCTTCCCTCGCGTCCACGTAGCCCCACTGGACAGACCACCAGTCTCCACACAGGACCACACAGAGTGGGCTCTCTGGCTGCATTATGCTCCTTCTTCTACCTCCTTCCTGTGCTACCCTTTTCTTAGATTTCACAGTAAGAAGTGGATCCACCTTGCAGAGTGTTCCTTCCACTGTAAGGCATGACCTACCCCATGTGGTATCACCACGAGTCTGAGAAACAACCAGAGCAGTGATTCTCAGAAAGTCCCCATCTCTGAGGAGCATTTCCTGCAGACCCCGAGTTGCTGGCCTCAGCACATTCAATTCTGGTTCTCCAACAAGCCCAAAAGGAGTGGGAGAGAGCACACCCGGGAGAGCTGGGAGTGCTCCCAAACCAGGCCTTACTAGGGCCTCTCACTTACTCATTCACACACACATTCAAAAAATCCCCGTTCCCGCTTGGCAAGGTCGTGGACGCGTATTCTGGAATGACTGCTCACAGGTGCCTCATTTGGAGAATGGGTCTGCCTGCCTAAAGATGTGCTTGGCAGAGATTGCGGTTAGTCTGCGTTTTCTGAGGACATAGCTTTTGAATGAAAGGACAAGATAAATGAGATGTTTTTTAAAAGGCAGCTGCCGCTCCACTCCTCCCCACCAGTGCAGGGGGAGAGCTACTGTTCAGATCTGTTGGCCAGACTGACTCAGGAAGAGAGGGTGAATGGAGTAAATGTCTATAAAAAACCCAAATCAGGCATTTCCATACAGTGTGAAATCTTCATTACAGCTCTGCAAAGAAGGATTCTTATTGCCATTTAACAAATGGGAAACTGCAGTTCAGAGAGATGACAGGACTTGCTACAGATACCCCAGTGAGGCTCACAGCCAGAAATCAAAACCGTAGGAGTCTGACTCCAAACCCTTGGTCTTCCCATGGAGGTCTGTGCTGGGTCCTTTGCTTTGAAAAGCCCTCTCTCCAATCCTAGGCTAATTCACTGATGCTGGGCTGAAACCCTGAGGCTGGAAATGGACTCCCAGGAAACAGATGATTTCCAGAATCTTACAGGATGCGGCCCTTCCTCAGAGCCAGCTCAGACTTGGTGAGAAGCTCTTGGTTCTTCCTTAGGGACAGAGCAGAGGAAACTTGGCCTCTTTCTTTGGTATGAGCACTCCCACATATACACACACACACACACAGACAATTCATAGTCCATGTCTGAAGCTGCTTGAAGTGGGACCATCAGTGGAGAATGGCATGAAAACAACCTCCTGAAGAATGCCTCTGAGTGGCAGATGGGTTCCTGGGTCGATGGAACGACACAGTAAGCACGGAGAGAAACGTGGGAATAAGGACTAAGAGAATACAGAAGGGAAGCTGAAACCTGGTTTTGGAGAATAAGGACAGGAAAGCATGGGACTGTAGCTGCAGTGAGCAGTAAGGCCCAGGACATACTTAGCAGTGACACCGGGCTCCTGACCTGCTCAGAGCTGAGAATGCTTGGTTCCCAGAAGGCGTTAAATTGGGATCTCTAGGTATCTGAGACCACTCAGGCTGCCATAACCAAGTACTACAGTCTGGGCGGCTTGTACAACAGACACTTATTTTCATGTAGTTCTGGAGACTGGGAACCTAAGATCAAGGTGCCAGCAGGTTTGGTTTTTGTGAAGCCTTTCTCCTCATTTTGTTGATGGCTGCCTTTTCCCTTTGTTTTCACATGGATTTTTCTGTTTTCTTGGGGAAAGAGAGAGAGATTGAGAGAGAAGAAGGGAGGAAGGGAAGGAAGAGAGAGGGAGGGGGCAAGGGAGAGGGTGGGAGGAGGCAGAGCAGGAGGAGGGAGAGAGAAAAAGAGGGGAGGAGAACGGAGGGGAGAAGGGGGGAAATAGAGAAGGAATCCTGCTGTCTCCTATAAGGACACCTGTCCCATCAAATTAGAGCTCCACCCTTATGATCTCATTTAACCTTAATTACCTCTAAGGCCCCATCTCCAAATACAATCACATTGAGGGTTAGCGCTCCCAACATTTGAATTTGGGGGAACACAATTCAGCCCATAACGCTAGGGCTGGATGGGAGCTTTCAGCTCAAAAGCCTGTTGACTGAGGAAACCAAATGTGCAACGTGAACTGCCTGCACGGAGGTCTGCGTGCTGTTCTTTCTTCCCCTGCCTTTCCTGCTAATGTCAATATGCGATAACAAGGTAGCTGAGCGTTAGCACAGAGGCCTGGGGTCGCGTTGGTGGCGGCCACTTAGCTGGGCTGCTGAGGGCTCTGGTTCATGCTGGGAGCTGGGTGGAACTTCACGTGGAGAATCAGCAGCCTGGCAGGGCGAGCCGGTCGAGCCCGGCCCACGCCTCCGTGAGTGGCCAGCTGCATTCACTTTCCACAGCAGGTGCAGCGAGTGAGCGGGGAGGCTGGTGCTCGAAGACCAGGAGAGATGGACCTCGCGCCAAAGGGAGTCCGCAGGGGCCAGCGGGAAAGAACACGCAGGTCCGACGCCCCACCCACCCTCTGTCAGCCTTCCCCTGCCCAGACCCCTCCTGGGATGAAGGGAGGGAGAAGCCTTGAAGGAACGGACTTTTGTTTAGAAGGGACTATTTTAAACCAGAAGAAAACGACTTCCTTTAAGTTGGCGGCTTCCCCCCCAGCTGCGATCCTGCTACCAAGCAACCTGCTTTTGCTCGTGAGCCACAGTGAGTACGTTTGGATTCTTTTATTCATATGTATCGAGCGCTTACGATGTCCCAGGCATAGAGCTAAGCACTTATTTGATTTTAAAAATGTTTTGTTTTAAAACTAATAACGAGAAGAAACATACCAGAAAATACTGAAACGTAAGTGTTCAGCTGAGTGAACGGCTGTAAAATGAGCACTGATGGCGGGCGGAGCTTCCCCTGACATTTGTGGGGCCCGGCGTGGCCTGCCCACTTCTCTTCCCACCCTGGTTTGTCCCACACCCTGCAAGGCCTCAGAAGCCATGTCTGTAGAATCACAGCCCTCAAGGCTGAGGTGTGTTTCCATGCCCTTCAAACTGCCCTCTTTAAGCCACCCCTTGGGACTTGAGTTGCAAACTGGGAGCGTGGTCCCCTCTCAGGAGGACTGGCCTGGGGAAGGTGACAGAAGCAGGCTCAGGCCATTCAGGCTGGTTCTGGCTCCTGATACCTGATCTAGAAGGTGGGATACGGGCCCCAGCAGGTACGGGGGTTGTTTCCTACGGATTCCTTGCCCCGTGGGGCAAGGTGGGGAGAGAGGAAGGCCACAGTACAGTCCACCAAAGTAGGGGGCCCAGGACAGGGGCCCTGGTTACTGGTGTGTAAGAGCAGCCCCATTGCCGCTCCACACCCCCAGATCTCAGCATTCCTCCTTAAGGGGGCAAGTCCAGCTTTTCCAAGTTGTCTTCCAGGCCCTCGAGCTGAAAGGATGCTCCTCTTCTGAAAGCTCTAGATCCATGTCCTGATGGAGACACCATTTACGTGTTATGTGTCAGGTGCTTCCAGACACCTTGTTTCACTTAACCCTCCCAACACCCCCTGGGAGGCAAGTGTTAGCACCCCAATATCACATATGGGGAAACTGAGGCTCCAGAAAGTGACGCGAATCACCCAAGGTGGTGTAGCTCGCTCGAAAGTCGGAGAGCTGGGATGTTACGGAACAGATTGGATCCCTTCTCTAAATCAGCAAAATTAAAATCAGATGCTCAGGGGAAGGCATGTCTCCGGTGGTGTTTCATGAGGCCCCCAGGTGATTCTAATCTGTGTGCAGGGCTGACGCCCCCTGGTTAAAGCTCCACGCTGCCATTCTTGTCATTGATGGGGAAAGGCGGACTCAAGATAGTTATTTTGAATGACAGTGAGCTTTTCTGCAGCACCTGCTTGTACCTGGGGCCTCTGTGGCAGCACAGGTTGCTCCCAGATCCCAAAGAGGAGGAGGGATAAAGGCAGTGCCTGAAAACACAGCAGATGGCAGCTGGTCTGGAGCTCAGCTGAGCTGGGAGAGAGCCCTGAGCCGCCAGGTATCAGAGCAGCTCAGAGAGCAGGAGTGAAACATGGAGGCGTTAAGGGTTTACAGGTGGCTCCGGCTTACAGTGGTGCAACGTGGGATGTTTCGACTTGACGATGGTGCCAAAGTGATACATATTCAGTAGAAACCATACTTCAGATTTCAAATTTTGATCTTTTCCTTGGCTTAGCGATATGTGCGTACGATACCCTTTCTGCGATACTCTCGTGATGCTGGCAGCACCAGCGAGCTGCGCTCCCGGTCAGCCCCGCGATCATGAGGGTCATCACCCGGTACCTTCGTGTACTGTGTTGCCAGTGTTTTTTTGATCTTCGGTTTCCCCATCCCGTCATGGCTCCAGAGTGCCTGTCCCTGCAGTCATGTGCCTTTCGTTGTGCCCGTTAATTACCAGTACCC